TGGAGACCAGGAGAGGGCTTAGGATTCCCTGGAGATAGAGTTACTCTTGTGAACTGCCTGACATTGGTGCTGGAAACTGAACTCTGGTCCTCTGGAAAAAGAGCAAGGGTTTTAACTGCTGAACCATCTCTGCAGCCCCAAGATAAGTATTTTAATAAGTCTCTCTTTTTGTTTTGAGACAAGATCTTCTTGTAGCCCTGGCTGGCCTTAAACTTTCTATGTAGACCAGGCTGGCCTCAAACTCCCAGAGATCTGCCTGAGTCTGCCTCCTGAGTGCTGGGATTAAAGGTGTGATCCATCATGCCCAGCTATCTATCTATCTTTCTTTCTTTCTAAAGGTGTGCATTTTCTGTGTCTGTGTGTGCGTGTGTGCCGTGTGTGCATGTGTCCGTGGATGTCCATTTTTAAAACTCCTTTAAAGTTGTAGTAAAACATGTATAAATCAAACATTTCAGCAATAAATTCTGCATTTCAATGCACATTCACATTGGGTGACAATATAATTCTTTTAGATACCACATTATTATATATTGTAGGTACTGAATTTGGGGGTGAATTTAAAGTTTTTTATTCTTAAAAATTGTTTGATTTTCATATCTTTGTAAGATTTTTAATAGCTTATTATTTTATGTGTATGTTGTCTGATGTATATAAGAGCACCTGTTTGTGCAATGCCCAAGGAGGACAGAAGAGGGCATCCAGATCCCCTGAAACTGAAGTGACGGATGGTTGTTAACCACCATATGGGTACTAGGATTCGAACCCATGTCCTCTGCAAGGGGAGTGAGTGCTTTTAACTGCTGAGCCATCTCTCTAGCCTCAAGATTTTTCATATAAATTCACATATCATTAAAAAAAATTCAGCAGGGCGTGGTGGCACACGCCTTTAATCCCAGCACTTGGGAGGCAGAGTCAGGTGGATCTCTGTGAGTTCGAGGACAGCCTGGTCTCCATAGTGAATTCAGGACAGCTGGGGCTACAGGGAGACCCTGTCTCAAAAAGAAAAAAAAAAAAAAAAACTTCAGAAACAATGTCCCATTTAGGGAAGATGGTCCCATTTCCCTACTGTCCCCAACTGCCCTGTACCACCTTTAGTGGACTATCATCAGGCTGTCAGCAAACACCTTTGTTTTGTTTTGTTTTGTTTTGTTTTAGACAGGTTCTTAACTATGTAGACCAGGCTAGCCTGGAACTCACAGAGATCCACCTGCCTCTCCTGGGATTAAAGATGCCTGACAGCAAGAGCTTTTGATGAAACACTTAATTCAAATTTACCATGAGTCAGTGGTAGGTTTAACACTGGCAGCTATGTTTGCTGGCTGGGTAGATTCAGGTATATTTTAGGCCTGGAATAAGATATCTCCACCTAACTGAAAATTGCTACTCTAAAACTGCCCCAGCCAGGACAAGAAGAGACTGTCCTGTGGCTCATTCATCTCCAACTCTTAACTAGCCTGTAGAGAGATGGGGGAGGGAGAGAGAAGGATCCTCATGGACAATGCTCGAAGAACATTGCAGGTAGGCCCAGCCAATGTGTCTTGTAGCTTTCAGACCCAGTTTGTCCCTTGAGACTCCAGATCATATCCAAGGCAGGACAATGCAATACAGGAGTAGTCCCAAAAGGTAGTAAGTGAGGAAGTAACCTAGAATGCAACATGTGACTGGAGAACAGGTTTTCCAGTTATTCAAAAGTTTCATGATACAATTTCTGGGGGGCCTTTTGTCCTGGTGGGGAGTATTCCCCAAGAGGCTTCCAAGGCAGTCTTTAGGATCTCAACAGTGGCTCTTGACCTGAAGTAAGTGAGCTGGAAACTAGCATACAAAGTAGTAGATGAGCCAAAAAACCTTGTGAGAACCCACAGCATTACAGTCAGGATGTGCAGCTGTCTGCAAACCTCAGCACCTCTTTCCAGGATGTGTCCAGGGGCCACATCCTCTCACTACCAAAGCTGAACTTCCTCAGGCTTCTCTACATCTTGACCAAACTTGCATTCTCTTCCTCTTTCCAAGGTCAAGTTCTGGCCTTAGTGGTCACAAGGGATGAAGCCCATACTTACTTTACAGTTAAATCAAGTAAAATCAAAAGAAAGCTAGTCAATCCTCCCTCTAGCTATTTGCCAACTTCCCTTGGCAAGAAGCCCCTTGCTAAATCAGACTCTTAACTGGCAGGACTCTTAGTGATCAACTAGTTTCATTCTTTTATTTTCCCACCAGATAAATAGGCTCCAGAGATTCATTAGATACTATGAGTCCAGTGTAATTACCATGTCCATTTTAAGAATGTGAAAACTGAGATGCTCTGGGGTCAAGTGATAGCCTACTACTTAAAGAGGCTCACTTTCTTTCCTTCTGAAACTTCACGCCTTGTGTCGTGAGTGAAACACAGACAAAGGGTATACACCTTTCCAGTCAGGATGATAGCGCTGATCTCCCATGCCTAGTCCAGTACTTTCTTTAACGATAGAGCATGCTATTGCTGGAGGCTTATGGTGGTGGGCCCTATCTGGGAAAGTCTGTTGAACTGGACCCTCTGGTTAAGACTAACAACCCGAGTGGAGGGACCTAGGGTCTTCAGGGTCCCAGGCCTCGCGGGGGACCGCCCTGAGCCAACGGCCACCTTCGGCTAGCCCTGCGGTGCAGCAAGTCCCGTTCTAGCCTGCTCTTCGCGGGCACAGTTCCTACCCGGGACAGGGCATCGACCATCAATCACCCCAAGGGAGCCATGGCCCCAGCGGTTCATCCCTAGGGAGCCGCAGGGCCAGGCCAGCCTGCAGTGCGGGAAGCAGACACAACATTTTTTTCCTCCTCTGGCACCAGATGCCTGCCCTACTCCTTCTTCTTTGGGCCCTCCGGGAACTGCAGGATCCAGTACAGCAAGTTTCCCCTCGAAGTTGCAGAAGTTACGTATTCCGGGGCGATCTGGGCCCCGAGGATGTCGGTCCAGGAGTGGCCGGGCTCGGTGCGCCCGCCCTCGGCCTGCGCCGGGCCACACCTGGCCGGCACGCCCACTGCCTGCCCCGGGCCACCTGGAGAGCCGCGCTCGGCGCCCGCTAGGCCAGGCTCCGGTCGTGCCAGGCCTCCCAGCCGGCCAATGAGGATGGGGCTCGGAGCCGCCGCGTCCCGCCGAGCGGCCAATGGGAGCTCGGCATGCAAATGAGCAGGTGCGGTGGCTGCCGGCCCGTTGAGGCGGCCCCGGCTCCCGAGATGTTAGAGGCGCGCTGGGCTGCCGCCGAGCAGACGCCCGGGCTCCCGGCTCAGCGCTGCGCTCTCCTGCCATGGCCCCCGCTCCGCCCCCCGCCGCCTCCTTCTCGCCCGCCGAGGTCCAGCGGCGCCTGGCGGCCGGCGCCTGCTGGGTCCGCCGCGGAGACCGGCTGTACGACCTCACCAGCTTCGTGCGGCACCATCCCGGGGGTGAGCAGCTGCTGCGGGCGCGGGCTGGCCAGGACATCGGGGACGACCTGGACGGGCCGCCGCACAGACACTCGGACAACGCCCGCCGCTGGCTGGAGCAGTACTACGTGGGCGAGCTTCGAGGGGATACGCAGGTACCACTGGCCGGCGGGGGGCACAGGCTCACCCCTCCTCCAGCCGCCCTCTCCGAGCGAGCCCTGATCACCTGCCCTCTAAGAGGACTCAAGGTGACAGCCGCCAGCGCCCCCCCACCCCAATCCCCAGCCCCTTCTCTCCAGATAACAAGTCACTGCCTTCCCTTTCCACAGCTACCCCTGCCCTGGCTCAATCCTCTGATTCTCCCACCTCCCGAGCTACCTCCTCCTTCCAACTTGTTCCTTCTGCAACTTTGCTCACTGTGTCTGGCCCCAGTCCCTCCCTCTCCCCCTTCTCACCAGTCTTCCTTTCCCTTTCTCTACCAGTTCATCCCACTGGTCTCCTTTCTTGAGTCATAGGTTCGAAGGCTTACCTGGCCCTGGCTCCATAGTGCACCCCTCTCTTGATTCAAGGAGACACAGACCCAGGCTCTGCTTAGATAGCTCCCAGGGCTTTTGAGGATGGGTAGGTGTATCCTCCCAGCCCCCTTGCTTTATTTTTTGTCCAACTCCATGGTGTAGGTGTGGAAGCATGAAATAAAATGCATAAATCAGCTTGTCAAGGAAAAGAGATCAGCACTTCTATCCCAGGCTGTGTGCTAAGTGGCACTGTACTGTGTGGTGCTGGCTCTTGGTGATATTTAAACCTTCCTCTCACCCTGGGTTTTGTTAGCCCCATTTTAGGATGTGGAAACTGAGATTCAGCAAGGATCTGTAAATGTCTGAAGCCAAACAACTAAGATAATTCAAAAACCATGTGTTTTGTGCTTCAGAATCAATGTTTCCATCCCAAGGATTCCAGGGCTGGGGACAGTCCACCTAGACTGAGTAGACTCAGGTCAGGGGCAAACTGACTTTCTCCCACACCTGGCTATAGGACTGGTGACAGTAGGGCCATCTTGCTTGGATATAAAGCAACAGTTGTTCCCTACTGTCTTGAATATAAGTGCTTTTAGATCTTTGGATGAAAGGACATGCCACTTACTGTCCAGGAGGCTCCTCTAGGCCACCTTGAATTCTAATTCTTCATTGATTCAGTCACTTACTTGTTCTTGAATGGGGCTGCAATTCTGTGCTAAGCACCAACAGACACTGACAAACAAAATAAATATGGTTCCTGTATTTATGGAGTGAACAGACTGATGGGAAGGGGAAGAGAATATACTCATCACATGATAATTATTCAATTAAATTTCATTCATATTTGCAATGTTTACATTCTTGGTGTAGATTTTCAGGGGATGGGTTCAAGGACAGCTCTCTTGGGAGAGTGACATTTTCACTGATAACTAATTGATGGTAAAGAGTGATGGGAAGAACATTCCAGACAGAGGAGACAGCATGTGTGAAGGAATGTGGCAGTTAAGAGACAGTAAAAGAACCAAAGTGACCAGATGCTGACTGGCAAGGGGAATGGCTGGAAGCCAGAGGTCACTGGGACTAGATCACATGGAGCCTCAAAGGCTATAGTCAAGGGCTTGACTGGTGGAGCCATGGAAAGCCAGGGGACTTAAGCAGGGGTGTGGCACCATCAGATTTGCATCTCTGGAAGAGTATCCTGGTTCCAGTACCAAGGAAGAATGGAGGGAACTTTAGTGGATGTGAGGAGACCAGGCAAAAGGCTGCCAAAAGAAGGGGAAAGGGGATGATTTTGAGACATTTCATAGGTAAAGTGTCTGAACTTGGCAATCCACAATGGCAGCCCAATATGATCTTGGAAGCTGGTGTTTAGTGTCAGATCTTGCTGAACGAACAGAAAGCTTAGCCATAGATATAAGAAAAAGTGAGTACAGAAAATGGCAAGAGGTTGGAATCAGAGCACTAGAGATTGCCAGGCCTGTGACAGCTCACGGGCCTTCTCTGCATTGTAACTGTGTCCTATGGACTGAAGCCTAAGGGTGTGGCCTCTTTAATCAGTACCATTCTGAATGTTACTCTGAGCAGCTGTCCTGGATGACACCACCCCCCAGCTCTGCCAGCCACACAGCATTAGGGTTTGGTTTTGCTTTGCATTTCCCTGCCTGACCCTCAGGGAGGATTCAGAGGTAAAACTGAGTTCACCTTCGCTTCCCGCCCTTGCACCTGTTATCCTAAGAGTCCTGCTGTGGCCATGATTCAAACATCCAGATTTTGGGGCCCCAACCTGAGGATGTGGAAAAAACTAAAAGCTAATAATACACCCTCAGACCCAGTTGACACAATCATCCTACACTCCAGTTGCCTGTCAACTTCTGTTGACTGAGTTCAAATGTAGAAACTAGTACAAGTTCTCATTTTATTTTATGTTGTTTTGTGAAACAGGATTTTGCTATAGAGTCCAGGCTGGCCTCAAACACAAGCTCCTCCTGCCTCGGCCTTATAAGTAATGGGATTACAGGCATGTACCACTATGTCTAGTAAGGTTCTCTTTAAATTGGGGGAGAAAATCACTCAAACGAAAAATCTGTGTTTGTGCTGTTTGCATTCAAAAGGAAAGCTAGGGATTTGGGATTTAGATCAATGGTGGGGTGCTTACCTAGCAAGTTGCAAGGATTCTAGCCTTAGCTTTAAGAAAAGAGAAAACTAGATGGAAGCATTTACAATTTTCTCTCTAAGTCCTTCCAGCAACCCCACCTTGCCTTCTGCTGGACCAGGGGCGCTGACACCTGTGGAGGTGAGACCCCCCTCCTGTGTAAGGACCCAGAAGAAAGTGCTTTGAGCTAGCTCTGTTGCTGCCCTCCCTCCCCCAGGGACCTTTCTTCCCTAGCTTAGCCATTATGTGTGAGCACTCTGGGGCTTCTTCCATAGAGAAGTCCAATCCCATTTATTTCCCTTGCTCCCCACTTTGCCACACCCCCTGTATGTACATACCCCGCCACACATTCACATTCACCCAAAGGCACACACATAAAACGAGTTAAACTTGTCTGAGCTAACAGACTGTGATGTAGGGGAGATGAGACAAGTTCTACTGTGGCCATGGTCTTGAATGAGGGGAAGTCAACCCACTCACCTTGATCCAGTGAAAGAGCCACTGGCAGAGCTAAGAGCCTGGCCCCCTCATCACTGTCTCTGGCTCCCAGAGACCAGTGGGATCAAGCTCCTCAGAACACTGCTGTGACTGACAGCACAGCAGTGTTCTCCTACCTGTAGACATGAAGCCCAATTTTTGAGCTGCAACCAACAGTTTTTAAAACAAACAAACAAAACTCAAGATAATAAAGAAGCTAGACTGGCAAGATGGTTCAGCGGGTGAAGACACTTGCCACCAAGCATGAGAATTGAGTTCAATTCCCAGAACCCACGTGGTGGGAGGAAAGAACACATTCCTGGAAACTGTTCCCTAACCTCCCCATGTGTGCTGTGTATACGCAAGCGCGCACACACACACACACACACACACACACACACACACACTAAATAAGGGGCTAGAGAGATGGCTCAGCAGTTAAGAATACTTGCTGCTCTGGGTGTAGTGGTGCATGCCTGTAGCCCCAGCACTTGGGAGGCAGAGGCAGGAGGATCTCTGTGAGTTCGAGGCCAGCCTAGTCTACATAGTGAGTTCCAGGTTAGCTGGGGCTACAGGGAAACCATGTTTCAAAAAGACCAAAAAAAAAAAAAAAAAAAAAACCACTTGCTGGGTTTGGTTCCCAGTACCCACAAGGTGGCTCATGACCATAATTCCACAATGCTCTCTGCTGGCCTTTATAGGCACCAGGCACGCACATGATGCCATACATACATTCAGGCAACATACTCATACATATGATATAAAATAAAGACTTTAAAAAATAAGTAAGTAATTTTAAAAAGGAAGCAGAAAAGCAAGGAAAGGATTCTGTGGAAACCTCCTTCTTCTAAGGTCATAAATGCCACATTTCCCGGACTTTGTCATCCATGAGTCACTGTCATCATTCTTTCCAAATTGACATACCACTTGAATTATTATATTTAACACTTATCTTTATGTAGACTCCCACTTTTTATTTTAGCATTTACTACCCCTAGATGATAAGACCAAGAGAATTACAGGTCTTATATATACTTAAAAATAAATATAAAACTTCTGTCATATTTATTTTATGTATGTAAGTGTTTTGCCTGTGTGTATATAAGTGCACCTGTGTCATGCATTGCCCACTGAGGTCAGAAGAGGGTGTCAGATCCTTCAGAACTTGAGTTATAGATGGTGGTTAGCCACCATGTGGGTGCTGGGAACTTACCTGTGTCATGCATTGCCCACTGAGGTCAGAAGAGGGTGTCAGATCCTGCAGAACTTGAGTTATAGATGGTGGTTAGCCACCATGTGGGTGCTGGGAACTGAACCCAGGTCCTCTAGAAGAGCAGTCAGTGCTCTTAACCACTGAGCCATCTCTCCAGCCCCAATATAAAACTTTTTTAGGACAGACTAGCCTCAAATTCACTGTGTATCAGAGAATGACCTGCTTGAACTTATGATCCTCCTGCCTCCACCTCCCAGGTGCTAAAATTACAGGCTCAGTTTTTGTGGTGTTGGAGATCAACACAGGGCTTTGTGTGTTCTAGACAGTTACTCCACTAACTGCTACGGTTCTCAGCCCAAAACTGTTAAAATAACATTTTTAACTGTTCTGGGCACTGGAAGGATGGCTTAGCAGTTAAGAGCACTGACTGCTCTTGCAGAGGACCGGGGCTCGATTCCCAGCACCCACATGGAGGCTAACAACCACCCATAACTCCAGGTCCAGGGATCCGACACCTTCTTCTGACCTCCATGGGCTTTGTATGACATGAGTGCACTTACACACATGGATGCAATACACTCATACACACAAAATAAAAATAATAAATAAAATATTTTTTTAAAAAAAGAAAAATTCTTCCTTGTATCCCCTAAAATCATCTTGGGTGCCACCAGTGAGGTATATACCATACTTTATGAAACAGAACTCAAGCTTGGTGTTCTGTGGGTCATTTTCTAGGATGAGTGAAAGAGTTGATATTGTATACACATGCAATACACTCATACACACGAAATAAAA